TATATCCCTCTAAACTCTTCATATTCATACATCCATCCAGAAGTCATTTAAATGATGTAATTGTACCTGCTCCCAACACTTCCTGTGGCACTTCAATCCATATGCACCAGCCTCTGCATGCAAAATTTGTTCCTTAGGTCCGTTTTAAATCTTTCCCCTCTCACCTTAAACCTATGTTGTCTAGTTTTGGAATCCCCTACTCTGGAAAAAAAAAAACACCTTGACTATTTACCCTACCCATGCCCCTCATGGTTTTATAAACCTCTATAAGGTCACCCCTCAGACTCTGATGCTCCAGGGAAAATAGTTCCAGCCTTTTCAACCTCTCCCTATAGCTCAAACACTCTAACCTTGGCAACATCCTTGTAAATCTTTTCTGTGCCCTTTCAAGTTTAACAACATCTTTCCTATGGCGGCGAGACCAGAATTGAATGCAGTATTCCAAAAGTAGCCTGATGTTCTGTACAGCCACAATATGACATCCCAACTTCTTCACTACCTTGTCTACCTGTGACTCCACCTTCAAGGGACTATGAACCTGCATCCCAAGGTCTCTCTGTTCAGCAACGCTCCCCAGGACCTTACCATTAAGTGTATATATCCTGCCCCAGTTTGCCTTACCAAAATGCAACACCTCACATTTATTTAAATTAAATTCCATCTGTTGCTTCACGGCCCATGGGCTCATCTGATCAAGGTTGTATTCAGAGATAAACGTCTTCACTGTCCACAACACCACCAATTTTGGTGTCATCTGCAAACTTACTAAAAATACCTTATACGTTCACATACAAATCATTTATATAAATGGCAAAAAGCAATAGACCCAGCACCAGGGTCTCGAGAACAATAAACTTTGTCACCAATGTATCCTGAGGGATGTTCAGAATTGACCACTTCATGTGAGGAAGGCTGTTTGTCTTCTGCTACAGGTCACTGCTGGTCAGTGTTCATCCTTCTCTATCTCCCTCAGCATGGCAACAACAGCAACAATAATAACCCTGGGAAACACCAAGGATTGGAAGGTCCTTAGTGTGTGTGTGTCTGCAGGTCCTTTAAGGTAACAGGACAGGTAGATAAGGTGAATAAGAAGTTAAATGGGATACTTGCCTTTATTAGCCTAGGCATAGAGTTGAAGAGCAAGGAGATACTGTTGGAACTGTATAAAAAGTTGGTTGGGCCACAGCTGCAATATTCTGTGTAGCTCTGGAACCCACACAATAGGTGGGATGTGATTGCTCTGGAAAGCATGCAAAGGAATTTTACCAGGGTGTTGCCTGGACTGGAGAGTTTCAGTAATGAAGGGAGATTGGATAGACTGAGATTGTTTTCCTTGGAATAGAGGAGGCTGAGTTGTGACATGATTGAGATTTATAAAATTACCATGGGTATAGATAGGGTAGACAGGAAGAAACCTTTCCCCTGCTGGACCTTGAGAGCATAGGTTTAAGGTAAAGAGCAGGAGTTTTAGAGAGAATGTGAAGAAATCTGGAATTCACTGCCTGGAAAGATGGTCGAGCTAGAAACTATCAGAACATTGAAGAGATTTTGATATGTGCCAAGATATACAAGGCTATGGGCCAAGTGCTGGAAAATAGGATTAGAATATTTAACCCCACTGCGAAGCCTCTTCTAAGGACCTTGTTGTCTTAGAATACTTAAGTGTTTGTTTTTGACTGGGAAAGACTCAATGGGCCTAAGGGCCTTTTTCTGGGTGGCAGATCTCGGTGACACTCTAACCCCTGGGTCTGACGTGGCTGGGTCTATCACGCTGGCAATGAGTCTGTTTCAGGAACAAAAGTGACAGGAGATGTTCTTCATCCTGAGAACAATCAGCAGTGACATCCATGACAAATGACTGTTTAGCATGGTCCTCTACAGAGTGAGATATGTTTCATTTGCCCACACAAGTAGATAGGTTGGTAAAGAAGGCGTAAGCATGCTTGCCTGTATTGGCCAGGAAACTAAGTGCATGAGTCAGGATGTCATGTTGCAACTTTGTAAGACTTTGGTTAGGCCACACTTAAAGTATTGTGATTGATTCTGGTTGCCACTCTACAGGAAGGATGTGAATGCTTTGGTGCAGAAGAGCTTTACCAGGATGTTGCCTGGATTAGACGGCATGAGTTATAAAGAAAGACTAGGAAAACTCAGGCTGTTTTCTCCTGAGTGGCGGAGCCTGTGGGGTGATTGATAGAAGTTTATAGAATCGTGAGATGCATAGATAAGAGTTGATGGTCAGAATCTTTATCCCAGTGCTGAAATGTCTAATACTAGGGGGCATGCATTTGAGGTGAGAAGGAGGAAGTTCAAAGGAGACATGAGAGTCAAGTTTCTTTTAACACAGAGAGTGATAGGAGTCTGGAACGCCAGGAGTGATGGTGGAGGCAGATATGATAAGGGTATTTCAGGGACTTTTAGATAAGATATGAATATGCAAGGAATGGAGGCATATGGACCAAGGGCAGATCGAAGGGATTAGTTTTCATTTGGTGTCATTTTTGGCACAACATCATAGACCTAAGGGCCCATTCCTGTGCTGTATGGTTCTATGCTCTATATTCTATTGTGACAAGGAGGGCCATAGAACGAGTCATCTGGGCAATTTAGCTCGATGAGCTCTCCAGTAGTCAGGCAGCATTAGATGGTCAAAGACTGTAAGCCCTTTTTTTAAATACACATTATTCATATAAAATATATATACATAGTCACTAAAGCAGTTCAATTCTGAACAGTGACATATGAAGAAAACAAACATTGGAGTTTGACTCAATCCAGCAAACAAACCAAAGGCATCTCTTAATTGTGCAAGGTTATACTTACATGTATTTGAGGCATCAGGAGTGTTCAATAACTGAATTGATCCCCATTTAACTTTGGCTGAAAGATCTCGTACAGTGGTCTTTCCCCATTGTGTCTTGGCAGCAGCTGCCCCGAATGTTAGTGTGCCCCTCAGCATGTGGTACTGGACCCTGGAATGTGTCACTCTGCCACACTTGGTCAGGGTTAACTTTTTGTTCTGGGATACCAACAGGTTTCGGGCAGACCAAAGAGCATCTTTCACCGAGTTGATTGTCCTCCAGTTGCAGTCGATGTTTGCCTCGGTGTGCGTCCCTAGGAACAGACCATAGAGCACAGACCCGCGTCACGAAGCTGCTCAGGACGAACCTCGGCAAAAACCACTGTATCTCTCTCCAGACATCTAAAGGAACTTTCCAGAAGGAGATGTGTGACAGTGTCTACCCTCCACAGTCACTTCGAAGGCAGCGTGCGGTGGTTGTAAGTGCTGCATGAGCATTGGACTCATTACCATTTGCCCCACATCGTCAGGACAGGCATTATTCCATGTAAGACTGTCTTGCAATAAACTTACAGGTCAGGAAACAATGGGGCAGTCCTGTGCTACGTGCTCTACAGGAGGTTTTGATTTTGCCATGTGCACTGTGATTCACAGGTGCCTTTTACTGAATGGACGAAAAGAAAACACCCTTTGGCTAGCACACCTCTCACTTTACGGTACCTTACCGTACCTTTGAATGCTAAAGCATTTTCAAGGGCTCCCAGAGTGTTTCCCAAAGAAATGTGTTTCTACGGTGCTTTTTGGTCTCACAAAGAGGAGGAGGATTTGTAGTAAAAGATAACAAGTCGTAGAACTGGATGAACACAGCAGGCCAGGCAGCATCAGAGGAGTAGAAAAGCTGACATTTCGGGTCTGGGCCCTTCTTCAGAATTTCTTCTCCAGACCCGAAACATCAGCTTTCCTGCTCCTCTGATGCTGCCTGGCCTTCTGTGTTCATCCAGTTCTACGCCTTGTTCTCTCAGACTCCAGCATCAGCAGTTCCTACTATCTCTGGAGGATTTGTAGTGTTCTCTTCCCAGCAGGGAGCAGTGCTGAGTTTTGCTTTCAGCAGCTGCCATCAATTATTGTTGTAACTGAGTGCCCCAGCAGGTCCAAAGGGCTAAATTTAAATCCCTAATCATGTTTCTGATGTTGCTTCCTGATTCAAAGCCCTTTCTGCTGAGATGTGGAGGTGCCAATGTTGCACCGGGGTAGACAAGGTCATAAATCACACGACACCAGGTTAGAGTCTAACAGGTTTATTTGAAAACACAAGCTTTCAGAGTCTTACTCCTCCTTCGGGTGAGAGAGGTGGTATCAGATACAGAATTTAAAAGATCAAAGGGTCACACTACTGTTGCAGATGTACTAAACAAAGTTAAGATGCTGTTAAATCTTTAATCAGTTAAAAGGTTTAAATTGATTAATATGTTTATGTAAATCCCCAAATTCCTTTGGAGTCATTTTGAATTCCTTTGAACACACACACACACCTCTGATGCTGCCTGTGTTCCCCCAGCTCCGCACTGTGTTGTCACACACACACACACTCCTTTTCACTCTCTCTCCCCACACACACACACACACACACTCCTTTTCACTCTCTCTCCCCACACACACAAACGTGAATCTATGGTGTGAAACTGTACTTGCAGATACATTCTATTTTCTTCAAAAAGCACACAATTGATAGATAGTCAGTCAATGTGGCATTTGATAAATCCCTACTCTAGAATACAATCAGTCTGACTCCAGACCAGAACAGAGATTCTAAACTAGGCCTCACACCTAACGTGCATTGTCTGCCCTAAAATGTCACCTCTTTTTTACACTGATAAAACCTTTACTTCTCTCAGGACAGTGACTCCAAAGGAATTCGTGGATTTACATATACAGATTAATCAATTAAAACCTTCCGCGGCCCTTTGATCTTTTACTTATAAATTCTGTGTCTGATACCACCTCTCTCAGTAACACCTGAAGAAGGAGTAAGACTCGGAAAGCTTGTGTTTTCAAATAAATCTGTTGGACTATAACCCGGTGAGGTGTGATTTCTGACCTTTGAGCTCAGTTCATTCCCCACCCTGCAGCTCGTGATACATTTGGCCTGATTCCTCGATGTGGCTGTTTTACAAGTGTCTGACTTCTTGGAGTTGCAACGGTTTCAAATCTAGTTCTGCCAGAGACTGGTGACTCATCAATGTTTTTTATTGCAATTGGTTTGGCCATACGTTTGTCTCCGATCGGTACGAAGCTATATGAATAAACAGGAAGAAGAGTTTAATCGCTGTACGGGATGAAGGATTCGGGGATTGGGGAAAGATATGCCTGAGGAAAGGGTCGCCCGAAGTGTCTCTTCCACCATGAGGAAAGAAGTAAGAATGGAGGGAATGATACTTCTGGTGCTTCTGTGTGTACAGGTCTCTGCAGGTGAGAGGGGCTGTACCAGGCTGGGGGTTGCGTTAGAACATTAACATAACAGAGCGAGGTGAGAGAGGGCCAGTGCCAGGTGGACACTGCGGTCGGGAGGACTGAGGACGGTGTAGTAGGATGGGCAGGGTGAGGGAGGTGATTACGAACCAAAACAGAAGTTGCTGGGAAAGCTGAGCAGGTCTGGCAGTATCTGTGAAGGAAAAATCAGAGTTAACGTTTCGGGTCCGGTGACCCTTCCTCAAAACTGAAACGTTAACTCTTTTTATTTATTTTCCTTCACAGATGCTGCCAGACCTGCTCAGCTTTTCCAGCAACTTTGTTTATGTTCCTGATTTATAGCATCCGCAGTTCTTTCGGTTTTTATTTAGATGGTTACGAAGTTGGTGAGCGTGCGGGGAGGGGGGTGAAGTGCACGCCTTCACGATTAAATTAAATCATGATCGATATTTCCCATCTTCACGTCCATCCCAACCATTTTCCAACAAAAATCCAGTTCAGTTTTCTATTAATCTCCACTTGCAACGAGTACCCCCTGGGTAGTCACAACTTTCTGAATTCAGTATTTCCACTATTGCTCAACGTGAAGAGAAACCTCCTGACTTCACTGCTGAATGGCCTCGTTCTCAGTTTATGCTGATGTCGACTTGTTTTGTTTGGATTCTGTCAACTACTTGAAACATTTTTAAGTGCTTAGAAACATACAAAGCAGAGAGATCAGGAGCAGGAGCAGGAGCAGGCCATTCGGCCCTTCGAGACTGCTCCACCACTCAACATGATCGTAGCTGAATTTCCAACTCTGTACCCTGTTCCCGCTTTGTACCCCACACCCTTTGACAATTAGATTAGCTGTGACTGTTCTGTCCTCGAGGAATGATGAGCTTAAACACAGACAGAAAGTGCCGGAGGAACTCAGTAGGTCCGCAGAGAGAGATTAACATTTTTGAGTTTGAAATGGCATTTCTTCAGAACTGTCAGCCAGTTCAGTCTAGACCCAAACCATTCATCGTGAGAATGTCTTTCCACAAAACATCAGAGGTTCTTTTGACAATCACCTTAAACTGGAAGTCTACAATTCTTGAACCGTTCACCAAAGGAACTGGTTCTCTCTATTCTGACTATTGTGATGTTGAGCACTGATATCAAATCTCCTCAATCTTGTCTTCTCCAAAGAAAACAGACTGGGTTCTCCAATCCATGCACATTGCTGTGTGGTTCCTCACCACTGGAACCGTTTCAATTTATCTTTTCGACAAGCTCTCAAAGGAGTTCTCACAATCCCTAAAGTACTACACCCAGAATTAGAAAGGGCTACTCTGATTCAGCCTGCACTAGTGTTCTGTATCGATTCGTGAATTATAGAGTCGTAGAGATACACAGCATAGTCTAACTCGTCCATGCTGACCAGATATCCTATATAAATCTAATCTCATTAGCCAGCATTTGGCCCATGTCCCTTTAAAGCCTTCCTATTCATATACTCATCCAGATAGCTTTTAAATGTTGTAATCGTACCAGGTTCCACCACTTCCGATGGCAGCTCACTTCCATACATGCACCACCCTCTGTGTGAAAAATTTGCCCCTTTGGCCCCTTTTAAATCTTTTCCCTCTCACCTTAAACCTAAGCACTCCAGTTTTGGACTTCCCCATCCTGGGGTAAAGACCTTGTGTATTTACCCTACCTGTGCCCATCACAATTTTATAAACCTCTGTAAGGTTTCCCCCTTCAGCCTCCGAAACTCCAGGGAAAAAAGAGTCCCAGCCTATTCAGCCTCTCCTTATAGCTTCCAACCCTGGCAACATCCTCATAAATCTTTTCTGAACCCTGTCAAGTTTCACAGCATCCTTCACCAGAATTGCACAGAGTATTCCAAAAGTGGCCGAACTAATGTCCTGTACAGTCGCAACATGACCTCCCACCACCTGTACTCCATGCACTGACCAATAAAGACAAGCATACCGAACAACTTCTTCACTATCCTATCTACCTGTGACTCCACTTTGAAGGAACGATGAACACACCCTCCAAGGTCTCTTTGTTCAGCAATACTCCCAGGACCTTGCCATGAAGCGTTTCAGTCCTGCCCTGATTTGGCTTTCCAAAATGCAACACCTCACATTTATCTAAATTAAACTCCATCTGCCATTCCTTAGCCTAATGGCCCATCTGATCAAGATCCAATTGTACTATGCGGTAACCTTCTTTGCTGCCAGCTACACCTCCAATTTTGGCATCAACTGCAAACATAATAACCGTACCTCCTATGTTGACATCCAGTCATTTATATCAATGACAAACAGCAATGGACCCAGCACTTACCCATGTGGCACACCACTGGTCACAGGCCTTCAGCCTAAAAAGCAACCCTCCACCACCACCACCCTCTGTCTTCTACCTTTGAGCTAGTTCTGTATCCAAGTAGCTAGTTCTCCCTGTATACCATGTGATCTAATCTTGCTAACCAGGCTACCATGAGGAACCTTGTCGAATGCCTTACTCAAATCCATACAGATCACATCCACCACTAGGCCCTCATCAATCCTCTTCATTACTTCTTCAAAAAACTCAATCAAGTTAGTGAGACAAGATTTTGTATTCATTTAACCTTTCTTGGGATGTATGCAACTCTGGCAAGGCTAGCTTTTCTTTCCCATCCCAAATTCCTTTTTGGCTTGCCAGGTCATTTCAGAGGGAAGTTAAGAAGCATAGAATCCCTACAGTGTGGAAGCAGGTGATTTGGCCCATTGAGTACACAACAATCCTCTAAAATACATCCCACCCAGACCCACTCTCCTCCCCTATAACCGTGCATTTCCTATGGCTAACCCACCTAGCCTTCACATTCCCTGGACACGATAGACAATTTAGCACGGCCAATTCACCTAGCCTGCCGCACAATGCTATGGAACTGGAGTCACATGCAGGCTTGACCTGTCAAATTTCTTTCCCTCAGGGACAGGTGTATGAATGAGTGTGAAGTTACTCTGAAGAACACCCCAACCTATCCCATAGGCCTACATTTACCATGGCTGACACATAAGCTGCACATCCCTAGATAACTACTGGGAAATTTAGCTGCTGAATTACTTTTTTTTAGAACTTCTTGTAATATCTTTGCTAAGAAAAATGTGGAGTCACGGGGCTAAGATGGGAGGAGTGGGATGCTCTTCAGAAGGTCGGTGCAGACTCAGTAGGCCGAATGGCCTCTTCCTGCACTGTAGGGATTCTGCGGTTCACTTCGTGAGATCTGCGTGCACCATATGTTGTCTATGAGCCTGTTGCCTCAATCAAAACTCAATAAGGTTTGTTAAAAATTTGTATTATTTTTAGAAACGGCAAGGCAATCTCTGCATGTTTTCCTCTGTTGATCACACTGTTACAACAACAACAGTCTTTGTTTATGTGCCACATCTAAAGTCATACAATGTTCCACAGGTTGGTGACGCAAATTTCGGAGGAGAGATTCAGTTGGATTGTAGGGGCGCAGTGGGACGCTGAAGCCTTGATCATGGCCACTCAGTGAGGGATCTGGGAGGTAGGGGATAAGACTCAGGAGGACCACAGCAAGCAGGGATCAATTGTAGATCTTGTTTTCTGTTGCATTTCAATGTGGAGGACATGACCCTCTTGCCTCTTTTTGTTTCAGAGTCTCACTTTCTTCAGTACTTGGCCACTGCTCAGACTGCCACCCACCACCTCCCAGGCTTTGTGATCGTCGGTTATGTGGACGGTGTCCAGTTTTTTAACTATGACAGTGATCAGAAGAGATTGATTGCCCAGGGGCAATGGATGGTGGAAAATAAGAAGCCCCCATTCTGGGAGCAAAGTGCTGTGCTGGCACAGCAGAAGGAGAAACATTTCGAAACCTACATTGAGATGATAGCAGCGCGGACCAACCAGTCGGGCGGTGAGCGCTTACACTTTTGCCATTCACCATCTTTTTGACAGAAGCTGGGAGTGGAATGGCACCTGGATAGGGTATTGGGAAGGAAGTGGCTCCATCTCCATAGAACAAGGGCTGGAACAGAAAGTGTACATTAGACTTCAAAATTATGTCTTTTTTTTTTTAAAGAAAGCTGTTCCCACCTGGCTGATATTCCAAAGATTAGGGGAACATAGATTTCAGGGTTTGACCAAGGGATGCAGGAAAACATGGCAAGGATGTGGGAACCAAGAGAGGATTATAAAGAGGAATACCAAGGTATTCTAAGAGTGCTTGCAGAGATGGATAGCACTAGTATAGAGGATAGAAAGTCAAGATGTGAATTTGGAGTAAGGGCGAAAGTAATGAAATGTAAATCAAGGATACTGAATGCATGGAGTATAGTAAATTAGACTTTCGAGTTACAGACATGGATTGTCTTATGTTGTGACAGTAGCAGAGATCTGGCTCAAGGACTGAGTAGTAAATATCTCTGGATATAAGTTTTATACGGTATAGATAGGAAAGGAAGAAATGGAAGAGGGGTAGCATTATTGGTCATGGAGAGCATTGCAGTGCTAGAGAAAGTGTACATCCCAGAAGGTTCGAGGACAAAATCAATGTGACTTGAGCACAGAAACAAAACAAGTGCAATTATATTGCTAGTCGATAGATCACCAACAAGTGGAGAGTGACAAATATACCAACATTATAAAATAGTTTTAAATGGGGTGGTGGTGCTTAAACGACTTAAATATGGTCTGGGATAGTGGTATTGTTAAGGACAGAGAGGGGAAAATATTCCTATATTGTATTTGGAAGTTTCCTACAGCAGCACGTGTCCAGTCCAACAGCAAAGGGTGCACTGTTGAACCTAGGTCTTGAAAATGAGCTGGCCAACTCAATCAAGTGTCAGTGGGGGAGAACATTGAGGAGGTAGCGATCATTGTATTGTAAGGAAGGTAATAATAGAAAAGGACAATAGGCAATCCAGAGGATGATTAATTAACAAAGGAAGATCCAACTTCAATGAGGCACGTATGGGCTTGTTGACTGGAATAAATCTGTTTGAAAATCTGTAGCTGAACACTGGGCTAAATTCAAAGAGGAGCTGGCTCATTTGCACTTGGGTTGGCAAGGTGCTTCAGTGGTTAGCACTGCTGCCTCAGCGCCAGGAATCCAGGTTCAATTCCACCCTCAGACAACTGTCTGTCTCTGGAGTTTGCCCATTCTCCATGTGTCTGGGTGGGTTTTCTCAGGGTGCTCTGGTTTCTTCCCACAGTTCAAAGATGTGCATGTTTGGAGGATTGGCCATGCTAAATTGCTCACAGTACCCAGGGATGAGCAGGCGAGGTGGCTTAGCCATGGGAAATACGGAGTTACAGGTTTGGGCGAGGGTTGCTGTCTCGGTTGGATGCTCTTCAGAGGGATTGGTTTGGACTTGAAAGATCAAATGGCCTACTTCCACCCTGTGGGGATTCTATGGAAAGGAGGGCAAACAAATTCAGAGCTCCCTAGATGGAAATTGAGACAGCAGTTAAAATAAAGAATAAAAAGTGTGCTTATGACAGATGAATAAGTACAGTTGAGAACCAAAAGGAATATGAAAGGGCTGGGAGGAGGTGAAAGATGTTAGAGAAGCAAAGAGGGATTATGATAAAAGACTGGTGGTCAACATGAAAGGGTGTCTTAGAGTCTTCTGTGGGGATGTCAATATTAACAGGGTGGTAAAACTAGGACTGACTAGGGCCCAAATGATTTTTACACATGGAGGCAGGAGGCATGGCTGATGTATTAAATGAACACTTTGTATCTGCCTTTATCAAGGGGGTGAAAGCGGCCTTGGCCAGCAGGATACTCTGTCAGTAAAAACGTTCAAAATTGATCAGGATGAAGTGTTCAATAGAATGTTGATTCTTAAAGTTGGCACCATGACCAGATAAGATGTATTCAATGATAGTGAAGGATCTTTGAGTTTTCCCTCGACTTGGGAGATGCCCAAAAATTGGAAAAGTGAAGATTTTGCGCCCTTGTTCAAAAAAGCCTGGAAGGCTAAGGCCTGCAGTTACAGACAAATCAGTTTAAAGTTTGCAGTGGGGAAGCTTGTAGAAACAATTATCCATAGCCAGACAAATAAAAGTGGCTTGTAGACAACCAATGCTGGAGTTCACAGCGGGTCAGACAGCATCTGTGGAGAGTGACAGCAAGTTAATGTTTTGAGTCTAAATGACTCTTCTTCAGACCTGGAGTGAAGTGCACAGGGGACAGCATTTATGCTATAGTTTGGGGAGGGAGGGTGTGGAGGTGGTGGAGTGTAGAGTGCTGGCAGAGAAAAGATGCTGATAGTTCAGATTAAGTGGTCAGAATGTGAGAATGGCAGTACAATAGTGTGTCTAGCTGCCAGAATTGAAAGGACGGATAGTCCCTCTGGGGTGGGGGCAGAGGAGAGAGGATATGGTGATTGAGAATGTAACAAGCTAAAAGAAAAGGAAGGAATGGTTCACAAATTCTCACATTCCGATCACTTAATCTGAACTATCTGCCAGCACCCTACACCCGCTACCCCCACCCCAACGCCCAAACTGTAGCATAAATGCTGTCCCCTCCACACTCCACTTAGCTCTGATGGAGTCATCTAGACTCGAAACATTAGCTTGCTCTCTCTTCATGGATGCTACCTGACCCACTGTGATCTCCAGTACTGGTTATTTTCAGTACAAATTCCAGCATCTGCCACAATTTTCTCCCAGAATAAAAGTGGCTTGTTTTTAGGGAAGGATTCTAAAGGGGAAATCCTCTTTGACTAACATGCAAGAGTGGTTTTTGTTTTTTTTTTGAAGAGGTAACAGGTAGAAGAATTTTTGTTTTCAGTTGCAGGAAGGAATGCAAGGGGAAGGTTCAGTCCTTTAAATATCCTTTAAAAGGAGTGGTGTGGAGTTGCAGATTTGGTAACAATCTAGTCTGGTATTGGTAGACCTTTTGAATATGCACAATTGATGCCGTTGCACTCCTTCAAATTCATCCAGCGGATTGCTCACACTCGGTTCAGTTATTTAGCCCTGAGTTTATTTGACAACTTGTTGGGTTCTTGCATCCTTTAAAGATAGCATATTTTAAAGATAGTCACCCTTTTAAAGCACGTTTCAATTAGTGAGGTCTGGATGTCCTTGTGTATCGGTATCCAGGTACCGTAAGTAATTAAGAAAGTGAATAGAATATTACTGTTTATTTTGACGGGAACAGAATGCAAACGTTGGGAGGTTATGCTTCAGTTATCCAGGTCACTGGTGAGAGTAAATCTGGAACACAGTATAAGGTATTGCTGTTCTTATTTACGTAACACTGTAAATGTTTTGGAGGCAGTTCATAGAAGGTTCACTTGACCAGTACCAGGAATGGGCAGGCTGTATGAAGAAGAAAAGGTAGGGTCAGGTTTGTCTTGTGATGGCTGGAGTTCAGAAGAATTACAGGTGACTTGATTGAAATGTAAACAATCCTGAAGGGTCCAGCCAAGATGGATGTGAAGTACATTGTTTCCTCTTGTGAAACAATCTAGATCCAGAGTCACCACCAAAATAAATAGAATAGAATCCCTACAGTGCAGTAACAGGCCCTTTGGCCCAACAAGTCCATATAAACTATCTGAAGAGCACCCCACCCAGACCCATCCTCCTATCCTTTCCCAGAACCCCTCATTTCCCAAAGCAAACACACCTAACCTATACATCCCTGAACACTATGGGCAATTTAGCATGGCCAATCCACCTAGCCTGCACATCTTTGGACTGTGGGAGGAAACCGGAGCACCCGGTGGAAACCCACGCAGACACGGGGAGAATGTGTAAACTCCACACAGACAGTTGCCCGAGGGTGGAATCAAACTTGAGTCCTGGCACTGTGAGGCAGCAGTGCTAACCACTGAGCCACCGCGCCACCCCTAAAATAAAGTGGCTGTTCTGTTTAAGAATAGGATAAGGACATTTTTCTTTTCTTTGTGAATCTTTAGAACTCTCTTTCTTGCAGGTAGCCTTTTGGAGACTCAAAAGGGGTGGTGGGGTCGGTTTATTAGGGATAGATGGGATAGCGAAGTCATCAGATCGGCAGAATTGAATGGTCGGGTCGGTCCAAAGGGCCGAGTGGCCTAATTCTGTCCCCGTTTTGTATGTTTACATACTGCTATAGAAATGATTGATGCTACTGCCTGCTTCCAATTGTTGAATGATCTGATGCAGGCTAATGGGTGAGGTCTCGCAGTCCTATGGGATCTGATTCCCTGCATCCATCTCACTGACAGGGATCCACTGGTTCCAGCTAATGACTGGCTGTGACCTCCGGGAGGATGGCACCGCAACTGGATTCTCACAGTTTGGCTGGGACGGGCAAGATTACATGAAATTTGACAAAGATCGCCAAGACTGGGCCACTACGGTACAATGGGGAGAGAGCACGAAGAAATGGTGGGAGAACATCAGAGCGTGGAATGATCAGCACTGGAAGTATTACTTGGAGGAGGAGTGCATTCACTGGCTAAACACCTACCTGGACTATGGACAGCAGATGCTGAGTACCAGTAAGTGAGGGGTTAGGGACACCGAGAGTGAGTGAGGGAGGTGGGGGGACTGAGAATCACTGAGTGAGGGGTGGGGTAGTGACAGTAGGGGAGGGATTGTTGGTGACTGAGCAGGGTGTGAGAATCGGTGAGTGGCGGCGGAGTTGGGGGGTGGGGGGGAAGTGAGTGGGCGTTGACAAGAGTGTGGGTGAGTGGGGGGGATGATGGGGAGAGTTGGTGAGCGAGAGAGGGGAGCGGGTGTGCGGGTCGGTGAGGGGGGTGGGCGAGTGCCGGTCGGTGAGGGGGGTGTAAGTCGGTGTTACAAATCGGAGGGTAACCACCCCCCTCCCCCAGAGAACTAAAACTGAAACACCCAAAGAGGAGCAGCTCGCGCCATAATCTGTAAAAGGAGCGTGAGAAGTGGTGTAACCTGCTTCTCAGCAACTTCTCGTGGTTAAGTAAACTAAACCCCTGTCACTCGCTTTAAAATCAACAAGTAACAGTTTATTTATCTAACTTTAACAATGAATAAATTAACAAACTATTAACAAATGGAATAAATCCTTTCTAACTACCAGCTGTTCCTGAATAAAGCAAGATTCAAATGGTATACTGTTCTAATAAATATGAGACCCAGTTATATAAAGAAAAAGCATTTAGTCTCTCAAAATAACAGCCAGGTTACAGGTCTTTTGGAATGTTCTGTGCCTTTTCTATTGATTCTTTTGTCAGGAATGCTTTCTCCGTCGATTATTCTGTCAGGAATATTAACAAGTTGTGCTGTTGGTAACATTATTATTTAGATGGTGCTTTCCCTAAGGCATAGAGGAGGCTTTGAGAGTTCATAATTCTCTCTCGAGAGTTGAGGACCGTTAGCTCTGGCGGATGGCAGCTAGTTTTGGGATCTTTGTCTAACTGCCTCCTTTTTATACCCTTGATGACACATCAATATTTCTGTCGGTTGGATTGGTCCAATGTTCTCAAAACCATCAGACATAAATTTAATAGATTTTTGGCATCTAAGTACCTGGTTCAAATTGATTTGGCTAATTCAAAAGCCTGTTGTCTTGGTTAAAAACTGCTGCTTGGCCTGCTAACAGTACGGCCTTTCGATACAAATGTTTCAATTTGGGTGCTCTCTGTGTATTTGCAAACTTTCAAGCTGCTGTTCAAAGACGTCCATTTTAAATCTCTAAGCACATGCTCTTTAAAGGGGCTGCATAATGCTTCCCCCCCCCCCAGCAACTTACAAATACCAAATTCTAACTTCCTGCCTCCTAATCCACAAGTACTCTGTCCAACTTTGCAACAGTCGGTGAACGAAGGCAGGAGTGTGTGTCGGTCAATGAATAAGCAAGAGGGGATTGGAGGAAGTGAAGGGGGGAGGTTAGAGTTAGTGAATGAGGTGGGGAGGCAGTGAGAGTCAGTGTGGGAGGGGGAGGCGGGAGAGTCGGTGAGTGGGGGAAATGAGGTTCTAAATGGGGGGGGGAGGCAATGCGAGTCAGGGAATGAGGGAGCAGTGAGAATCATGATCTCTCTCTTAATGTTCCTGCACTGACTCCTGTTCCTCTCTCCCTCAGTTGCCCCCATTGTGTCCTTTACCCGTCTGGGTGATTCTAACCGGCTGTCCTGTCTCATCACTGGGTTTTACCCCCAAGCCATCGAGGTGACTCTGTGGCGGGATGGAGTGTTGGTCGATGAGACCCTGTCCACTGGGATCTTACCCAATCACGACAGGACCTACCAGATCCGGAAATGGATGGAGTTTGATCCGGAGGATCAGGCTGAGTATTCCTGTCATGTGGAGCACAGTGGGCTGGAGGAGAAGCTGGTGGTGATTTATGGTAAGACTGTTTCTCACTGTTTGAGAGGAAACCAGACTCGGGCTAGGATCACGGGGGTGTGATGGTGTGGGTCACTGCTAAGTTCTTGCTTTAGGACAGGCTAGGGATGGGATGGAGCGTGAGAAATAAACATTCACTTCCACGTGTCAAAGATATCATACCATTTTTGGACAGTTGTGATTTTAGACTGTGTAACCTAGAATATTGCAGTATGACATGAACCATTGTATCTTGGAGCCCTGTTAACAGACTGTAAGCTGGTTGGTGAGATGGAAAGAAACACACATACCTTCTTCTGTGCACAGAGTTTACTGTGTTCTCAGTCTTGCCCCTCCCAATCCAGTTTCACAGTTGCTCTGCTCACAGGAAATTGACATGAACCATGAGTTCCTCTTAACATGAACAATATGATTAACCATTGCCAGAATCCCTTCTTTAAATTTAAACTTTTGTTGACAGGTTTTCTAAAACCGAATTGCAAGGCCATGTTTTCTGTAGAATGCCATTCCACTCCACTTATCTTTCACAGATCGAAAGAGCTCCTCTTTTCTGAGAGGGCATTCTGATCAGGGGTCTCTTTCAGAAATGCGGAGCCATACTTCCATTCTGATCGGCCCCTCAACTCATAGAACGGTTGACTAAGGACAAGCCACTCTCCCATTTTCACAGCAGTATTCGGAGACCAAATATGCTGCACAAGAGACAGACACTATGATAAGCTGATGCTAAAGCTTAAGTTTGTTAAGGTAAGTATGAGGCTGGTGAGCAGAGGAAGTAGGGTACAAGTTAAGTAAGGTGGCATTTGGGAAAGGGAGTTGGGAAGATCGGGTGTCAGGGGATTGAGTGGCATGTGAACAGGATGCCAAGTGGCTAAGGTGCTCGGGCACACGGGGGGCTAGGCAAGTGATGCAGTGGTTTGGTTGACTAGAGTCATAGAGTTACACAGCCACGGAAACAGACACTTCGGTCCAACTCGTCCATGGTGACTGGATATCCTAAACTGATTTCGTCCCAGTTGCCAGCATTTGACTCTAACCCCTCACAACTCCTCCTATTCATGTACCCAGCCAGATGCCTTTTAAATGTTGTAATTGTACCAGCCTCCACCACTTCCTCTGGCAGTTCATTTCATACATGCACCACCGTCTGTGTGGAAAAAAAAATTGCCCCTTTTGGTCTCTTTTAATTATTTCCCCTCTCACCTTAAATCTATGCCATCTAGTTTTGGACTCTTTCCACCACCTCCCCCCACCCCCACCATCCTGGGGGAAAAGACCTTGGCTATTCAGGCTATCCACGCCCCTTTAAGATCACCCTTTGATGCTTCAGGGAAGATAACCCCAGTCTATTTAGCCTCTCTATAGCTCAAACCTTCCAATCCCGGCAACATCCTTGTACAACATCTTTCCATACAGCAGGGAGACCAGAATTGAAGATATTTTATCCATCGGGTGAGGGTGGAGTAGCGTGTTATCTAGATTATCCTGGGGGCAATTGAGGACCGAGGGAATTGGGTCTGGATGGGGTGGAGAATCAGGTCTAGTGGTGGATGCAGTGGGCAGTGGATGGGATGGGGTTAGACCTATCTGGACATGGGGTGGGGTTGTAAGAATGGGTGAGGTGCTGTTGCAGGAGGTGATATAGGCGTTGGGTCAGGATTTGAGATTGTAAAGGGGCTGCCAGGAGGTGTATTTGAGGTGATCTGAGGTCTGTTGTGGGAGTCAATATAATAGTTACCCAGGATTAGACTGGGTCTTTAATCATAGAATCATAGATACCTACAATGCGTAAGCAGGCCACTGAGCCCATCGAGTCCACACCAACCTTCCAAAGAGCATCCAGCTCTGACCTGCCCACCCACCCTATCCAATCCCTGCATTTCCCATGGCTAATCCATGTCACCTGCACACCCCTGGACACTATGGGCAATTAAGAGTCTAACAATTCCTCTGAGTCCCAATTGAATTAACTGCAACAAAACCCTCCAAGTCTCTGATTTGTCTGGAGACTTTCAGAGGGTTCCAGGAGTACAGGAAATGCCCAGCAGAATCTTCAATTACCCGGCTCACGTTGTCAATGCTACGGTGAGAATTTGCGCCTGGTCACCAGTGCACAGCTCCCATCGACACTGTAGAAGGAACGATCTGCCCAGGGGAAAGGCTGGGCTGAAATTGTGTCTCCATCGCCTTGTCACACGTTAGAATGAAAGCAGCCATTAATGAGTAGGTGATGCTCAGGGTCTGGGTGGGTAGTGGTGAAATGGAAATGGTATTCATGGCCAGTCTGTGCCAATAGAGACATTTGGGTTTGGTTCTGGTGGAGATGACACTCTCAAGCCTGAATCCTGAGGGTTGAGTCTGATGCAGACCCTGAGTGGGAAGAAAGTTTTCAGACCCCAAAAAAAGGAGATTGTGGGCCGGGTTAGTGAAGGGGAATTGTTCTTCGTACGATAGGCATTTAGAAAAGAGTGCTTCTGGGTTTATGAGGGGGAAGGGAGTTGGGGAGATGTGTGCCAGTGTGTGTTCCTGTGCCTGTGTCCCGTACACGTACCTATGTGTGTTCATACTGATGTGTATCTGTGCAGTGTTCGTGTCTCTGCCTTTGTGTGTGTGTTCGTGTCTGCGTATATATGCGCACTTGCGCGCATCAATGTTTGTCAGTGTCAGCTTGCTGCATCTAGAACATAGAACATTATAGCGCAGTACAGGCCCTTCGGCCCTCGATGTTGCGCTGACCTGTGAAACCAATCTGAAGCCCATCTAACCTACACTATTTCATTATCATCCATGTGTTTATCCAATGACCATTTAAATGCCCTTAAAGTTGGTGAGTCTACTACTGTTGCAGGCAGGGCATTCCATGCCCTTACTACTCTCTGAGTAAAGCACCTACCTCTGACATCTGTCCTATATCTATCACCCCTCAATTTAAAGCTATGTCCCCTTGTGCTAGCCAGTGCTATCTGTCAGTGCAGAGCTTCAAGGGAGCAGCAGGGTTGAGGGTTCGGACTATAAGAATCTTGAATGTAGTACATTGTGATGGACAACGACTTTTATCGGACCAAAAGAAGCCTCTTTGATTGTGCTCATATTGCACACGTTCTTTGGTATCTGCCTGTGGTTCATTAGTTCCCCTCCTTCCCAGCCATGAAAAGCTCATTAGAGGCTGCTGTCTGCTGTTCCGAACCAACCCAAAGCCCCTCTTCTGAGCTCAGCAGCAAATTCTGTCAGCCCAGGCCTCTGGTTTCAATTCATGCAACCTCCCACTGCCGCCTGCACCTTTGGTGCAATCTCTCTCTCGTTTTCTTCCACCCAGTGTTGGTCACTGTGAGAGGGATAAAATTGGGTCATTGTAATAAACCTGTCTGGAACCTTGGTGAGACTGCACTTAGGTTCCAGTGTGAAGATCCAGTTACTGTGTAATTTAAAACAAAAATATGGAGACACTGGAAGGAGTGTAGAGGATGTGTACAGTGGTGGTAACAGAAATGTGTGGATCTAAATATCAGGACACCATTAACATTCTCGGTCTGTTCTCCCTAGGGAGCAGGTTGGTAATAGAGGCCATTAAAATAACAAAGTGTTTCATTAGTGTGGTGCCTTGGATCACAGTGTGTATCCAAGCAGTTCTTTTCAGATTCGGGTAAACATAAGTAAGAGAAGGCTCGACTACATCGATTTGCTTAAATATGAATGTTTATTAAGTAATTTAAAAATAAGTGGAAGAGAAAAGGAAGAAAAGCAAGTCTCACGCCCTCCTGTCCATCAGGGGCCCCTCGATTAATGGCTGTCCCAGAGGCTTCAGTTCGTTTCTGGCACCATTCACAATTCCAAGCTAAGGCGAAGCCCTGCCCTTTGGAATGAAACACTCTCTCTCTTATACAGTGTAATGAACAGCCAGCACAAAGAAAGCAGATACAAAAAGACAAAACTGCTGGTTGGCACAGAAAACACAGGATGGGAAAACAAGTGCAGGTGTCATCTTCGGCTCGGGAGGGAATGTACATAGCACTTATTCAAGGTCATGCAGCTAGTCAACAATTATTCTAAACTTTCCCATCCTGTATAATCTATTTTCCCACGCAGCTGTCAAATATCATCATCACCTTTTAGTCCTTCAACCCATTCTATCCACATGGGTACATTGTGAATGTTTCCTCTTGATTTGAGCACAGAACACCAATAAAACATCATTGCCAATTCGAGGGAATTTAAGAGAACGTTATAAAAGCAAAGAGGAAATCCAGAGGGAGTGGTTGAAGAGGATAGTACAGATGGGTTCAAGGTGAAACTAAGCAGCAATACGAGGGAGAAGGGAGTAGTTAATTATGATGATATGGTTCTGATGACGGTGGCTCAGTGGTTAGCACTGCTGCCTTACAGCACCAGGGACTCAGGTTCAATCCCAGCCTCGGGCAACAGTCTGTGTGGAGTTTGCATGTTCTCTTTCTCTCTCTCTCTCTCTCTCTCTCTCTCTCTCTCTCTCTCTCTCTCTCTCTCTCTCTCTCCCTACAGTCCAAAGATGTACAGGTTAGGTGGATTGGATGTGGAAAATGATGGGTTACAGAGGTAGAGTGGGGATTTGCATATGAGTGAGCTTCTGTTCAGAGGATCAGTGCAGACCCAATGGGCTGAATGGCCTCTTTCTGCACTGTAGGTGTTCTGTGTGAAATTTGCATGAGTTTAGATGGGAGGAGGCCTGAGTGGAGCTTAGTCACTAGAATGTAATAAGTGGGTTGAATGGTCTGTGTAATCCTTATTCTCTGTCTCACACACATTGTGCCTCTCCTCTCTGTCTTACAGTGCCAGAGTTTCGCTCCCAGGTATTTGTTGCTGTTGGGATTTTACTTGGAGTACTCATGATCATCACAGTCCTTCTCGTAGTTGTCGTCATCTACAAAGAGAGAGGTAAGATCCTGCACAAAATGTGGTAGGGCCCCACTTGATTTGGAGGGCTGTGGTGGGGGTGGGGGGTTTGGGTAGGTGCTTGGGGCAGCTCGGGACCGTGGAAGTTAAGGGCTCAGGGTTTTGGTGGAGCTGCTCGGGGAGGCGAGGTGGTCCCAAGGTAACTCTGTAGTTGGGGATTGCCTCGGGCTACGGGGCCCATGGGCTAACTGTAGTGACTCACCAAGGGTTTGAGGCGTTGAAGTGATCCAGTAGCGAAGGTCAACAGGGCAGGGGGTGGGGAAGGTTTTGTAAGTGCTCAGGTTGGGAGAGGCAGTCTCACTGTCTGCAGAGAGTACTTCAGGGTGGCGTTTACTCCGGTAGGGAGGCTGGAGTTACCAAACCTGGATGCCTCATCACATGACTAAGCCATGCTGCAGCCATTTGTTGGCCAATCCATCATCTTGTTGCATCATTGCCTTCCTACGCCAATCAGAAAGCAAGAAGACCTCTTACCAATGGATAGTGCAGCCTCGGGGTGTTCCCATCCTCCTCGGGGGCTTTGCTGGGTAGCGGGGTGGGTGGGGGCGTTGGATAACAGACTTCCAGGGTGTTCCCATCTTCCTGAGGAGAGTCTCAAGTCAGCGAAGGGAGCACTGAGTGGGTGCAAGGGCTCCAGGCTCTGGGTTGAATGTTGTGTCTTCGAGGCGTAGGCTCCCATGGTCAGGAACGGGTTTCAGTTTGGCACAGGCTCTCAGTTCACTCAGGAGGGTGGGAGAGAGTGATGGGAGACTGAAGATGAGACATTCAGGTGAGTGGGGCGAGTGACTGGGTCAGGTCCGTGAGGAGGGAGGAGGTCAGGTGATTGTGGGAGTGAGGGGCTCAGGTCCAGTGGGAGCAAGGGGCCATAAAGTCATTGAGGTGTACAGCACGGAAACAGACCATTCGCTCCAACTCGTTAATGCTGACCAGATATCCTAAATTAATCTAGACCCATTTGCCAGCATTTGGCCCATATCCCTCTAAACCCTTCCTCTTCATGTACCCATCCAGATGCCCTTTAAATGTTATAATTGTACTAGGCTCCACGACCACCTCTGGCAGCTCATTCCATACGCGCATTACCTTCTGCATGAAAAAGTTGTTCCTTCGGTCTCTTTTAAATCTTTCCCCTCTCAGTCAGGTCCATGTGGGAGTGAAGGAGTGGGGGGGCCAGGTCATTGAGAGAATGAGGACCATGGTTTCAGGGTTGAAGTGAGGAGCAACAGGATAGAGTGAGAGGTGGGAGGATTTGGTGGGAATTTGTAAGTCAGGGTGTGGTGGGAGCAGTGAGAGTGAGGGGGAATAGGTGAAGTGCGAGGGGCAACGGGGTGAGGTGAAAGTGAGACGGCACAAGGTGAGTTGGGAGTGAGAGAAAGAGGGAGTGGCAGTGTCAGTGGGAGTAGGGGCCCAGTATTAATGCAGAGCTGGACCCAATGAGAGAAGGGTTCACCCTTTTCCTTTTGACTGGGCATTCTCATCAGTTTCCTGTCTAACAACATACAGAAAATCAATCACTGAACTTTCCTTGTTTTTACAGCGAGAAGGAAGAGTGACTATGTCCCTACACACAGTAAGCTGAACGTGAACTATGCTCTGGATGTCTGTGTGGCCATCTCAATGTCCATTCTGTGACTGAAACACTCAACTGCTGATTCTCCCTCTGTCCCTCTATCTCGATGTCTCTGATTTTCTCTCTCTCTCTGTGTGTGTGTGTGTGTGTGTGTGTGTATATGTATTTGTGCGTCTGTGTGTGTCTCTGGCTCCCTGTATGTCACCCTTTTCCTTTTTCCATGTCTCCATCTCTTTCCCTGTTGTCCCTTGTGTCTTGTGTGCTGAATGTGTTATTGAACATTTTTAATACCTCCTCCTTCCATTAACAGCTTCTGATGATGGGATGTCCTCAGCCAGTTCCATTGCCAGTTCCTAAGGTATGAATAGTTTTCGTAAATAGTAAGAGCAGATCATTGTAACTGGGATACAGGAGCTACAATCTGAAGGGTGGACTCCTACCTCAATGTCTCTCTCTCTCTGTGCGATCACTAAAGATTAGCTCATACAGTTCAACGCTGAGCTTTCAGACTGACTTCAGAGGGCTGCCCCTATGTGAGTCTGAACCTCAAAGTATCTTTGAGAGGTGATGTTTGGTTGTAGAAACATCACATCCTGGATGTGGCCTCCTGTCAGCTGCTTGACTTCCTGAAGGGAGTTGATTCTGTAGGGGTTCTCGTTGCAGTTTGTTCCTGGAGTTTCACGTTGCTTTCCCAAGATTGTGAATTATTGGGTGTTTGTGCAATGCTGTGTGGTGGGTGGGGTCTGGATCTGATGGAGAAATCGCAGCAGTTCAGGAAATTAGACCACGAGGAGTTAAAGTCATACAGCACGGAAACATACCCTTAGGTCCAGCTCGTCAATGTCAACCAATTTTCCCAATTTAAGCTCGTCCTTTTAGCCTATATTTGGCCCATATCCCATTAAACCTTTCCTATTCATGTATCGGCCAAACATCTTTCAAATGTTGTAACTGCAGCTACACCTACCACTTCCTCTAGCAGTTCATTCCTCATACGAACCATGATCTTGGAGGGAATGCAGTGTCGACGGATCAGAATGAAACCTGGACTTTGAGAGTTAAATTATAACGAGAAATTAAACAAACTAGGGCTGTGTTCACTGAAATCTTGCAGGTTAAGGGCTGGTTTGATCGATGCTTTTGAGGTATTAAGGGAAATAGCTATTTTGACGGAGGGAAACTTTCAGTTGATTGGGGAGTTTCAAAGTCTCGGTCCAAAGGTTTACTCGTCAAGAGTGCAATTAAGAAGCTCTTCCACACAAAAAGGGTGGGAAATGGTTGCAACACCAATCCTCAAAATGTAATTGACGTTAAATGAACTGTTAATGAGTCTGTGAACAGAAAGCTGTAAACCTCCAAAGGAGGGAAATCAAGGAAAGGTCAACACACTTGAAGGTAGGCCAGAGATCCTCCATGATCACAATATATTCGGGGGCTAAGAGGTTTCCTGCCCTGCCATTCCCTGTTCTGGGAATTTTGCACATACAATGGATCTTGGTCAGCTGGCTTATTCCCAATGGGTTTTGTTGTGGGCTTTTGATTTGATTTCGATTTGTTCATAGGCTGTAGGTTGTTGATTGTCCATCCCAGATTTATTCCAGATTGCCATTGCATTTATTGAGGTCTCCTGTCTGCTGTTTATTCCCTCACACTCAGTAACCATTGTTTCTTCCTCTTCCGCAGTGGCCTACCATATCCGACTGGGAATCCACAGACGCCATTTCCCAAGGTCAGCGGCTGAAGTCAATGACAGATTCGTGGAGGAGTGATTCCTGCTCAATCTCAAATTCTGGCATGTTTTGAAAATCTGATTCCAAATCGTGGCAATGTTAACATTTCACTGTGAAGCCCTGACCTGCTAATGTTTAAGCTGTTTTATCACGTTTGACCCCCTTCACAGGCTGTTCATCAGTGGGATAGTCCCAGAACTCAAATCGAATATCTCTGCACCTTTAGTACTCGAATAACCCTTTCTTATATTAACGGAACATGGCAATTCTAGTCGAGACTGATTTGATTGATTGAACCCAAACACTACCTTACTGTGACATTATCTGTCCAAATGCAAGACAGGACCAGACGACAGCATCTCAGGATAAAGGGACATCAATTTAAAACCGAATTGAGGAGGAGTATCTCCTCTCCGAGGCTTTGGAATTCTTTGCCGCAGAGAGCTATGGGAGCAGAGTCCTTGTGCATATTTAAGGCTAACATAGATCTATTTGGGTGGAATCAACGTTTATGGGGAGAAAGGAGGAAAGTCGACGTGAAGAGTGTTCTTCCTACTGAATAGCAGAGCAAGCTCAAGGAACGGAAAGGAATACTCCTGTCTCTATTTGTTACGGTCTTATAAGCCTTGTATCACAAGCCCTTCTCCTTGCCCAGGTCAAGTCACAATCTCGGAATTTCTTGACTTTGCATGTTCCCCACGTTCAGTCGAGCGCCCAATGCTATGTCTGGCCCTAAAGCAGGGACATGGTGGTGTGCAGTGCTCCTGTCTGGAATTCAAGGCTCCACCATTCTCTCCAGGCCCCTCAGATTCTCCTCACATTCTTATCTTTTTTGAATAAAAGCAAAGTACTGTGGATGTTGGAAATCTGAAGCAAACAAGGGGGGACTCTGGAGAAGCTCAGCCGGTCTAGCAGCATCTGTGGAGAGAAAAAGCAGAGTTAACATTTCAAGTCCAATCTGATTCTTCAGAACTGGAAAGATGAATGGAATGAATTCTTCTGTTCGGCAGTATAGTCATGTCTCACTCGAGACATTTAACTCTGTTTCTCTCTCCACGGGTGCTGCCTGAGATTTTCGATATTCTGTGTGTTTGATTCTTTTCTTTTGCTTTCAGTCGGGCTGCCGGCTTCATCTTCCATTCCTGACAGTTTTTTGTTTTTTTTTTTTTTTTTTTTTGTTTTTAATCTTTTGGGATCTTCCAAAATCCCCAGTGTCTATGAAATGTTTTGTCAACAAAGGCCTCAAACTATGTTTGGGTAGCACTGCTATATCACCGCGCCAGGGATGCAGGTTCGATTCCTCCCTTGAGCGACCACATGTGTGGTTGTACATTCTCTCCAGTTTCCTCCAACAGTCTAAAGTTGTGCAGGTTAGGTGGATTGGCCATGCTAAATATCCCACAGTGTCCAGAGATGTGCAGGCCATGTGGATTAGCTATGGGAAATGTGGGTTAACAGGGATAGGGTAGGGGGTTTGTCTGGGTGGGGTGCTGTCTAGACAGTTGGCATGGACCCGATGGGCCGAATTGCCAGCTTCCACTCTGTAGGAAATTCTGTGTTTCCCATCAACTCTCCTTTGGGCTGCTTTAGTGAGGGCAGAACGCAAACAGCGATTAACACTCAAGTGTGGCGTGACCAATTCTGAGCCAACATCAGTGAGAATTCTTGCTGCTTCTAGCTCCTGGAGATCAGCTTTCAAGCTGCTTCACTTTCCATTCCTGACTCTGGAGGCTCAAAGGGCAAGGAGATTCATGGGAACAGGGAGAATAAGGTAGGGGGTTGGAAAAGGAGGGTTCAGCGGTGAGACCTGAGTTGGTGCCCCTTTTCCACCCCACCCCCTCTCCGGGCATAATTGGCCCCAAACCCGGCAAGCAGTTTGCCCTTGTTCTTCGGCTGGGAGACCAGCCACGTCTCTTCCCTCCTGGGAAGAGAGTTAACCAAGCTCTTCGTTAAGCTTCTTAATTGGCCATTGATGGTGAATATAGAAGTCAGCCATGGACATTGACACTGAACTTTAATCACTGAGTTGGTGAGAAGCTTGTCTGTTGGACCAAATTGCACAGCTATTTGCCCTTCCTGACATCTTCCTCGCAACTTCAAGGGAGTTTGCAATCACGCATTATAATTCCTGCATAAGAATCACCTATTCAAATCGCAGCTAGTGAAAACTCTAATTAAAACTGTCCTGAAAGTCATTTCACGAGACTGAAGCGTGTAAATCAGGTGTCGTGAAATTGAAGGAGTTTGCAATCGATCACTTTATTTAAGTTACTCTTTTTAATAAGCAAATGTAGCAATTTTCAAGTATTTTAACAGAAACAGCCTGCACAATAAACCATTCGGATGTTTGGTTTGTACTTTTTTCAAATCGAGATTTCTTTTTTCCCTTTTAAGTTTGTCTTCCCACTTATTTTTTACAGTAACTGAGCTTCCTTCTAAGTCTGCTGGCTCTGTGCCATTATCAGGTCAAAATCAATGCATCTTTTGGGGAAGATTTTGATTCCTTTTAGGTTCAAATTAGCAAGAACCATTAATGACAATAAGCAAAATGCTTGCAGAGGTTTCAAAAGGGAAGTTGGTGCTTGTCAAAGGACTTTTTGAGGAGGTTGCGGACCTGGAAATTGTGTTAGATGTAGACCGGAGGATATTTAAGAAACACATAAGTTACCACATGGGGGTGATAAGATAATACTAAATTAGTACTTTGTGTCAGTCTTCACCCAAAAGACAGCTTTAACAGGAGCACAATGTCCTTGTACCATTCGAGCCGGTCATTCCAGATTCGGACCTGGAATGAAGAAAACTTACAAGTTACATCTTGAGGTCCTGTCCAGCACCTCAAGCAGTGGTTCCTGCCTTTTGACATTTCAATTGTTTCCATGCAGAAGTGGGCCACCCTGGGCAAGTGGATGAGCTGAGGCATTGTAAATAGTCCCATCTTAGAGTTGAAACAGCAGAAGGAAGACGCTTATGTGCGCAAATCTCTAGAGGTGTCAGATCTAGTTGAGAATAGCTGCCAAAAAAGCACAAAGTACTCCTGAGCTTTAAGACCTCCCAGAAGATCTGGTAGGAGAAGCCGTGGCCTAGTGGTATTGTTGTTAGATTATTAATCCAGAAACATGTTTGGGAAGCATGAGTTTAAATCCTGCCATGGCAGATGGGAGAATTTGGATTCAAAACTGCTGTTTCATTGATAGCAATGATTTGGATGTGAATATTGGTGGTGTAGTGGACAGTGAAGAAGGTTATCTCAGAGTATTTCAGGACATTGACCAAATGGGCTACAGAGTGGCAGAGGGAGATCAATTTAGATAAATATGAGCTGTTGCATTTTGGTAAGGCAAATAAGGGCAGAACTTATACACTTAATGGTAGGATCCTGGGGAGTGTTGCTGCGTAAAGAGTCCTTATGGTGCAGGCTCATAGGTGTTTTGAAAGCGGAGTCACAAGTAGACAGTGTAGTGAAGAAGGCCTAACTTTATTGACCAGTGCATTGAGTATAGGAGTTGGGATGTCATGTTGCAACTACACAGGATTTTAGTGAGGCCATTTTGGATACCTGCATTCAATTCTGATGTCCCTGCTGTAAGGAGTGCAGAAAAGACTTGCAAGGATGTTGCTGGGGTTGGAGGGTTTTAGATAGATATAGGGAGAGGCTAAGTCAGCTGGAGCTATTTTCTCTGGAGCGTTGGAGGCGGAGGGGTGACCTCAGATATTTATAAAATCACAAGGAGAATGGATACGGTGAATGGTAAATTTTTTTTACCAGGGTAGGACGGTCCAAAACTCAAGGGCACAGATTTAAGGTGCAGGGGGAATGATTTAAAAGGAACGTAAGGGGCAACTTTTTCACATAGAGAGTGGCGCAAGTATGGACCAAGCTGCCAGAGGAAGTGGTGGAGTCTGGTACAAATTACAACATATAAAAGGCATTTGGATTTGTATATGAATCGGAAAGGTTTAGAGGGATTATGGGCCCAAAATGCTGGCACATGGGGCTAGGTTGTTTTAGGATATCTGGTCAGCATAGATGAGTTGGCTGTGTTATGGATCAGACAAAACCCCCTCAAAATATTTAAGGAAGATAACCTAGACCCTAACCTTTTCTTATTTTAAAGGTAAATGTGAAGTGCGTGTTACAGATGTGATGCCACTGATCAAACTACTCGATGTTAAGCAAAACATCATTTATTTAAACACTATAATTAAAATACAAACAAAAGAAAGAGGAATTTAGAATAACTTAACAATTGGAAAATTTAGATGAATAATAGATGCAGTACCTCTTACTAATTAACTGTTCCAATGTAGTAGCATCCCATAAACACACCTCTTGGCAGAAAGGCAAATCCTGACACAGTTTCTTGCAATTCTGGAGGAAATAACATTAAGGGAGATTTCAGAAAGTCGCTGCTAGGAATCATTTACTGAGGCTTCCAACACTTCTGGGACCCCAAACAGCTTCTCACTTTTAAAGTTTAAAAAAAAACAAGAAAGCCTGGTCTGTGTGAGCTGGCCACTCCCCTTCCATTGTTACAATCTTTTAAGGGAAAAACCGAAAGGATCTAAATTGTTTACTTAGGCCATTTTCAGAAGGCAGTTCTGTACCTCTGACTTTACAACTTCTCTTCAAAAGAACCCATAAGGACAAAATAACCTTTTTAAAGTGACAGCATCATCACAACTGAAAGGTCTATTACTGTGCTGTGCAGCTCTATTACTCTCTGACTGAATCTGGAATTAAGGTCTAATGATGACCATGAAACCATTGTAGATTGTTAGAGAGGCCAATCAGGTCTATTAAAGCCATTTAGAGAAGGAAATCTGCCATCCTTACCTGGTCTGGCCTACTTGTGACTCCAGATCTGTAGCAATGTGGTTGACTCTTAACAGCTCTCTGGGCAATGGGAGATAGGCAATAAATGTTGGCCTAGACAGAGACCTCCACATTCCATGAGTGAATTAAAAAAATTGTATTCCTATATTGAAAAGTGAAACACTTAAATGGTGGAGATCTGTAGCTAACACAGAAAATGCTGGAGAAACTCATCAGGTCTAGCAGCATCTGTGGAGAGTGAATGAGTTGACATTTTGATTCCAATATGGACCTTCTTCAGAACTGAGAACCAGGGACGGCACGGTGGCTCAGTGATTAGCACTGCTGCCTCACAGCGCCAGGGACCCAGGTTGATTCCACCCTCGGGCAACTGTCTGTGTGGAGTTTGCACATTCTCCCCATATATGCATGGGTTTCTTCCGGGTGCTCCGGTTTCCTTCCACAGTCCAACGATGTGCAGGTTAGCTGGATTGGCCATGCCAAATTGCCCATAGTATTCAGGGGTGTGTAGATTAGGTGAGTTATAGGGGGATGGGACTGGGTGGGATGCTCGAAGGGTCGGTGTGGACTTGTTGGGCCGAAGGGCCTGTTTCCACACTATAGGGATTCTTTGATTCTATGAAAGAGCCAAAGATGAACAAAAGAAATGAACTCAATCATCCAAAGGCAGTACATATCCAGGCTTGATCAAATGAGTGGCACATAGTCAAGCCATACATATGCCAACCTCCAACAAGACAGAACCTAACCATCTTTCCCTTGACTATCAATGATATTTCATCATTGAGTTCTCCACTATCAACATCTGGGCATTTCTATTTAGCAGAAAATGAACTGGAGAAACCCTATAAATACTGTAGCCTGAAGAGCAGGCTAGAGGCTAGGAATTCTACAGCAGATAAATCACTTCCTGATTCTCCAAATATTGGCCATCATCACAAGTCAGGTCATGGTGATTTTGGTGGTGGGCAAGTTGCTCAGATGTGCTTCATAGCACTTCTGGGTGTAAAGGGAAAAAAAGAGCAGGTGCAGACTGGAAGAAGCAAAGTCTGTCTCTATCTCACTGCAGCAAGGTAAATCAAGCCTGGAAATAGTTATAATTTCCTGCCATTTGCTGAATGCTATTGCCTCTAATGAGAGACTGTGAAAATGAACAATTCATGTGTAAATCATCTATCTCTTTGGCAAAGAATGGAAAGATCCTGGAAGGAAAGAACAAAAGGCCTTGAGAATGAAATTAACACCTCATGGACTGGTTTTTTTGAACTACATTCCACCAGCACATTTTCCTTCAACCATAACGCTGATGTAATTTTAATGATCTGTTTGTGTCTGTGTGCATATGTAAAGGTTTTTAAAGGGAGTTAGAGTTTTAACTGGCAGAGTTATCTGTTGATAGTTCATAGTTTTATTTACCTGTTTTGAGAACTTACTTTTTTGTCAGAATCAGTAATACTTGCCGAGCACAGAAATCTGGCCTCAATCTGAGTCCATCAACAAGGTAAATTCGGAACTTTGTGTACTTTGATTAAATCATTTACTTTTGTGGTGACCCCAGAAGTACTGGGACTTGAAGACCAGTGCACATTCCCAAAATGAGTCAGGACAAATGTATGTTTCGATGTTTCAGTGGGACAATATCTCATTCAAACAAAAGCAAAACAAGATGCGATCTATCAAACCAGTGTTCAGATTGAGATCTGACTTGTCCCATATTAACACCAATTTAGATGAAAACATACATACAGCTGAGATGCCAAAATTCTGCATGTTCTTCAGTTACTTTAAATCTGGAGATTAAAAAAAGTCACATTCATGCACAGGAAACATTGAGAACTCACCTCCAGGTGGTTCTCAATTGTTTTGTTTATTAATTCATCAAATAATTGATGTGACTGTATGTTTCACCATGCTCTTCAATTGTTCCCTGAATTTGGACTGAGTCACCACATAAATAAATGCGTTTGTGCAACAATTTAAACTGAGCAGCATAACTGCAACTTCTGCAAAGATATGCTTAGGATCACTGTAATATTCAGGACTAATTCTAGTAATGACATAATATAAGAAATCTATTACATATAAAAGCCACAGGAGAATGAAGCTGCCAGATATGGTGAAGAGTAGAATCATAGACTTTCTTCTATTCTCCATCTCTGGGTCACTGCAGTTCTGTCCCTTGCTCAGATTCCTTCGTGCGTTCCGGACTTGACTGGTCACTATAATGTACTTGACTGTCAGAGCATTGAGCAACAGAATTAAAGCATATGGGATTAATGGGGTTAAGACTTTATCAAACCAGTCAAATGCCACCCATGCAGGGTCAGTGAAGTAGCTTGGCTTTAAACTGCAGAACCAGGGAATATTGTCAATTATCACTTCATGTTCAAGTGTGAAGTAGAAGGGAATGTCTTTTAAGCAGAGAAGAACGCAGGTAGTTGTCTGAACGAGGGCTGCAATTCTTCCAGTGCAATATTTTGTTTTCAGCTTCTGACAACAAATGGCTACAAATCGATCGAAGGAGAAAGTGACGGTCAGCCAGACAGAACATTCTGAGGATGCAGAAATCAGGACAAGATTAATACTGCACACAGGGGTGATGTTGAGGAATGATTCTGGGAAATAAAGTGAATTAATTCTCCTTAGTATAAATGAAGTGATAACAACCAGTAAATCTGCTGTTGCCATGGATATCAGGTAGTGAGTGGTGCAGGTGGACAGTCCACACTTTCTTCGTGACAAGATCACAATTGCCAGTAGATTAACTGCCAGGAAGACAAAGGAAAACAAACTGGAAATTACTGATCAACCATTTTCTATGTTGAACCTAGGTAGTGAGGGCAAATTTCTATACCAAAAAACAGTAGGTTTGGAAGGGTAAAGAATAGATATTTTTGGAAAAGAAAATCAAGCATGACTTGAATTTGCCTAAATCAATGTTTAGAGTTTGGAAAAGGGCAGACAAATAACTATGCCTAAAAATTGGATGGCAATTTATCATTTGTATAACATATAAAAATCTATGAGTTTATCTGAACTATATCATTTATTCTGTCTGTCATTGTTTTCCATGTTTCATCACAAATCCCAGACAAAGATACCAGGGATTAACAACTGGAAATGACTCCTGAAGCACCCTAGAAGCAGACACTCAGAAATGGGATCATGCATCTAATAAAATAATCTGTTTTTGGATATCGTGGGGATGTAGGGGAACAGTTAGGTGTTAGACAAGAGATATATGAAGCTCATTGCTCAGGAGTGTATGTTAAGAAATGATACAAAGGACAAATGACACACTTAGAGATAGTAGGAACTGCAGATGCTGGAGAATCCGAGACAACAAGGTGCAGGGCTGGATGAACACAGCAGGCCAAGCAGCATCA